CGTTATATCTAGACAACCTTAGGTGTGCAAGACATATTTACATAACTAAATCTTGCGTGCAATGGTGAATCTTTCTACATGTCTAAATCTTGCACACACAACTCTACTTGTGCAAGTTATATTTATATGTCTAAATCATGCATGTCTAATTCTTGCATGCAACCGTAACTATCATTAGAACTGTAACGCTCTCAATATAGTTTTAATAGAATCATAGCAGTCGTGATACACAAGTCACTTAGTATCGTGATACACAAGTCACTTAGTAGAATCGTAGCAGTCATGCTACACATCTGTTAGAAAAGTAGTAATTTCTGGAAGTCCGGTGGGCATTGTGCTTCTAATAGGTACCTACAAGGGATATTTTGGGTGTAAAAATATTTTAGGAAAACATGGATATGCATGTTAAGAAATAAAAATGGCAGGTACTTCTTTATTTCCGAAAACTATAAGGGATATTAACGATAATCTCGCTATATACTTTTAATGACACATTTGAAAATTGGAATTTCTTGGGAGCTGGAAGTTCTATTTTATTGTATCACTTCCTAGATTGTACAGAAAGCGCTATGAGAAACTAGCTTAACTTTTGCTTCCATCCCCCCATGGAAGTTTGCCTATCCTGTTTTTATGAAGTTTGCCTCACCATTTTTTTAGCTTCCTGAATCCTTTCGCTCTCTCTAATTCTCTTAACTTCTTTTTTTCTCTAACCATGACCTTTCTCTCTCTAAATCCTCTGCTTTTAACCATGCCCTTCTCTTTGTAACTCCTCTCTCTTGAACTATGCTCTTTCTCTCTCATACATATTTTAACTCATCAAAAAACCAAAAAAAAAAAAAAAAAGGAAAGACGAAGAAAAAAAACTGCAGGCAGCAGGCAAGGATACACTTTAAGGGCAATTATATACAGTACCATTGACACTCCCCTCAAACTAAAATTAGATGGTCGTCCTTGGAGATCAACCTATTGTAGTTTGTCAACTTGAAACTTGTGCCTGGTTGTGATCATTGCTGAAGCTAATTTGTCAAAACATGTGCACAGGAGAGAAACTGGAAATGAATTGATTCCGCATTAAGTGATACTTTGTCTCTGTGATTCATCCAGTCATGAAAAGCTGGGTTTATTGAAATCCGAATGACGCTAACATTGTCTCCTAGCTTAGTTATTGAAATCTCCCAAATTGGTATGGATCTTGGCGATCCCACTCTCTTGGAGCGGGATCTTGAGTGGATCCTGCTTCTATATATGAGGAACACAATCTCAATCCCCTAGGGATTAGTTAATATAATTCACGCACATGTTAGCTCGATCAAAACAAGTTTAATATATGAAAACAAGTTTTGAATGCATATCAATCAGAAAAAGAAAATAATTATGCTACGAAACCATGTTCTATATATTTTCCAAGAGGATTAAATATTCGTAATACGTATTTATTGAAAAAAAGAAGTCTTTAATGCCTGTTAACAAATAATGAAAGAAATATAGCTGAATATTTTTTTTATGCTGATATCCATATCAATTAAAGAAAAAAGATGATACTAAATGCAATGGTTTCATGGTGGGTTCGAGTTTAGCAACTTCGGATGAACATTCATCCCTTTTATCTCTCCATATTTACTCTCTTTCTTTCTATGCTTATTTTTTGATTTATAATGAAGAGTAAGGGAATAAAGGGGAGAACCTATTTTGACCGAAATCTATTAATATCATTTATTAAACATTACAATATATTGATCGTATATATCTTTGTAGGCCCCCCCATCGACATTAGATTTATTTCTGAGCCCCTAAACCTTGAAGCACACTAGATGACCCAAAGGACACACTAAACCATAGTCCAAACCTAGACCACAATCTAGCCTTAGAATCAGTGTTTTAAAATGCGGGATGCAGCCCTGATGCGGTGGGGGGCCGATGTGGCTCGATGCGGCCGGGATGCGGGTGCATCGCGATGATGCGGTCAATAAATGTAAACAAATTCTAAAAAATAAGTTAATGCACAGAAAAAATATATGAAGGTGATATATGTGATAGTAGGTATTTTAGTTTAATGATTAACTTCAAAACTATTAGCTGTCGGAGATTCTGTATTCAGTTATCCACTATCCCCTGATAAAAACTAGAAACTTGAAATCAACTTCATAAAGCATTCAACAATCAACAACCATCAGCATAAATTTGCATCATAAGCACAACTATAATTAAGCACAACCATCAACAACCATAAGCACCAAATAATGATATTACAAAATACAAATCAAAAGTTAAGCTACAAGAAGAGTTAAT